GTTCTGCTACAACTGTCTCCATAAAGGCCGGCTGGTGTCCATATTCTATTCCTCGGCACAGTTTCACATCATTCTCCATCATATCGATCGATTCCCACCAACATGTGGCAGTACTACTGGCTGATGCTTTATTGCCACATGTACAACAGCAAAAAATGAAAATAATAAAATAAATAAAATAATATGATCGAGCTCACGCTTCCAAAAAAGTTAAGTCACACTGCTGTGTTATTAAAGCACAAGTGTGAGGTGATTTTTAGAGTTCGAACAAATTGCTGGGATGTGAATCGATGCATTTGGTTAAATTCAGCAGATTTTTATTTGTACTGCTTGCACGGCAGCAGGTTGCACTTCTGATTAGCTGGCTCCTAAATTGGAGTTTTTCCATCCTCGTTACTGCAGTTTAGCAAAAGAAAAGCTGAGTGCACCTTTCTGCTACTGGAAATGCAAAGTTTATTTTGCCAGTGAAGGTGAACTGTTTGGACTTTTATGAGTAATAATTGGTTCAAATGCACTTTAATAGATTCTTATTACTCCCTGACTTACTCAGTGTCGCTCTCTCCTCCTCCATCTCAGGGAAGCTTAAAGTTCAGGACCTCAAAGTTTCATTGAGGAAAACACAGTGAAACACTTGGAAAAAACAAGGAAACATTGACCTTAATGTTACGAGACTAATACGTGGGACGCCACCTCCTTACACTGAATTTCTTCATATTCATAAAAGGCAAAAAAGGGTGGTCTCCTTCCATCTTTGGTATACTCGCAGTTCAAAAACTGCAACACAATGTTGGCATCTCATGCACAGAGTCGCACTGCTGCAAACACTGCTCACACTCCCCCAGAGGAGATGCTGGGCTGATCTCGACAGGCGATGACTTAATGTCCAAAAGAACGACTGATTTGAACCCAGTTCCAACTGTTTATTTTTTACATGAAGGTCGTCATGGCTGTATGCCTTGCAGACTGACGCCACAAGCTTCATTCCTGGGGGACCTCCTCTTCCTTCCATGCACATAATTCTTATCTAGAGGCATGCAGTTGGTTTTCAGATACGCTGATATCACCTAAAGCTCAACACGGGTTTTACCGAGAATTTGTCTTCTGAGGCGAAGGCATGTCAGCACTGTGGTGATGCCAAGTGGAATCTGGGTTTAACCTTATCTGACAAACTGTTGTCCTCTGCAAATATCACAGCAGAGACCTCTTGTGCTTGTGTGGTGCTCCTGTAGCACATCCCAGCCAAAATCTAACCGTAAAACAACCCAAACCTCACCATCAAACTGCAAGGCCGATATTCTGCTGGAGAAGAAGGACATCGCTGAGTCACAAGGTACCTGAAAACATAATTTTTCTGCCTATAAAACTATTTATACTTTAAAAACGTTAAAATTGGCTATTAAAGACAGTGTAGCTTCATGTTGTTCGTTGACTCGGTGTTCAATTCCCACCTTCATCAATGCATTTAAAATCCTTCGAACCTCTGGCTCCAGCCCGCAGCAGTCTGGAGGCCAACCCTCCGTGAACTGCCCGCTGGCCCACTTCACGCCGTCCTACTAACCTACTTCAGCCCCACATGGATGACGTGGAACAGAAAAACTGAGACATAAAGCAGTCCTGATGTTCGGACCCAACTTTCATCAACACCACACTCCACCAAGCATGACAAACGTCTGTTTCTCTGTAAGTGTGTGTGTGTGGTTTGTTTTGCTGCTGACAGACACATGTGTTGCCAATTTCCTCCGTTAAGTAACAAGCCTGAAGGCTCTGACCCACTTTTGCTTAAGGTTTTGTAAGCGAGAGAGTGACTCAGAAAAACTCTGAAGGGAGAGAGTGAAGGAGGGACAAGGTGAGAAGGAGGGCAGAAAGGAATGAAGGGTAGATGAAATGAAGCAGATGTGACAGATGTGGAGGCATCTCAGC